ACAGTTAGAATGCGAATTGGGGAAGAAAACAGAAGATTTCAAATATTGTCCCTGGAGTTTCGCATTTTTGGAAATAAATACTCAACTTCGCAAATGGGGGTCATAAAATGATGAAATTGCAGAATTTTTAAAGAGATACACACACATAGACAACCACACATATATTTAGAAAATTAAACTAAAAATGGGATATAGACTATTATAAGACATTGTTCTTGACTTTTGAGTCCAAAGACGTATGATCCGAACTTTAATTGTGAAATCGTCCTTGATTGAGTCAATTTCCTTTATAGGAGTAATATATTCCATTGTGCCTTGCAAGTTAAAAAAAAAAAAAAATCAAAGTCACAAGCAACCACCCCACACCCACTCTATGACCAGCCATACCTCCCCACCTTACCTATGTCACTTCAATGTTCCCTTACACTCAAATTTCACCCACTCCCACGTTTTTGAGCTGGAACAATCAACCACACTCCTCATTTTCTCTCATTTCTCTCATTCCACTAAGTAACAAACATCACTTTTTCTCTCAAACTCTTCTACACAAATTTTCGAGATCCAAGGCTGGATTCAAGTGTTCTTCCACACTTAGTAAGTAAAAAATTCATCCTCCCTATTATTATTTCACTTCATTCTACTCAAATCTTTGGTTGCTTACACAAACTCCCTAACTATGATGTTAGATTCTCGAAAACCTTCAAGGCATCTCCAAGTGTTCTTGAATTAAACACTTCCATTCTTCAACAATCATCTACTGAAATCACTCAAGGTGAGTTCATACCCCTACATTTTCATGTTTTCTCAAGTTTTCAGGGGGGGAATACAAGTTAAAACACTAAGAACATAACTAGATTTTTCTAACAGCCTTCATCAGAAAAGTTCAACTCCATTCACGGACTGTTTTGGGCATCTTAAACATTTTTGTTTTCAAAACTGTACAAGGTGCAAATAGTTCAAGTTTTTAGCTTTAAAATGGCTACTTGCACATCTCCATACGATTTTTCTACAATTTATGGCGATTTTTACAAAACTGCCTATCACTTCAAACAACAATCCGGACCAGTCTGTGATTATGGACTTTTTCACCCAAGTTAGAGGTCATTATAAATTGTGATAAAATTATGAGCAAACTAGACACATTTTGTGAACTCTCAGAATTTACGGATCTAGTTTTCGACTTCGTATGATTTTTCTATGATTTTTCCAAAACAGGGCAGAATTGCTAAATTTTACCAACAACATGTAAATATCATAACACTTTGTATTATGTTGAGCAAAGTGTATAATCATAAGTTTTAATGTTTGAATGTGTTTCCTAGTTAGTTTATCATTATGAACTGAAACTAAGACATTCATATTAAATATTATCCATTCATTTTGGAACACGTATTATTTAACTATAAAAAGTATAGTTTGAATATATTTATAACACTAATACATTTCCATAAAAGGATTCATACATATTATACACATTTTAGATAAACTATAATAGGTATAGTTTATGATACATCACTCTACGCACTCGTACCAGAAGTGTACATTCATATAAGAAAGATTTCTATTCGCACACATTTCACGTAAGTTAATCTATGGTTTGATAAATTCACAACACTAATACATTTCCATAAAAGGATTCATACATATTACATACATTTTAGATAAACTATAATAGGTATAGTTTATGATACATCACTCTACGCACTCGTACAAAAGGGTACATTCATACAAGAAAATTTATATTCACACACATTTCAAGTAAACTTGTTATCCTATATTGTGAGTTTCTCTATTTTTCTCTCTCTCCCCGTACGTCCGAGTGCGGGATATAATTCCTGGTAGTTATAATCAGAATCTCCTTGAGGGAGAACGTGATACTTGTATATAGATCTATATTGGGATTGACACCCCACACCTTGCTGCTAGCTACAGTTGGACCTGCAGGTCTACGGGTGACAAATGTCATTTCATTTTTCGCGACACTGAGAACGTCGTGGCAGGTTCACATAGTCATAGTATGATTATAACGGCTCACATAGGGAACAATCCATAAGTTTACGGGATTTTATTTTTAAAACCTAAATGAGTTTTATGTCGATTTAAAATCACCTTTTATCTCTATGGGTACAAATACGAAGTACCGGGTCTCTATACAAAGCTATTATGATATTAAAACTACACATCCTCTAAAATTGTTAGACTTCAACTATAGTCGCTGAGCGTATATGTTGAGTCATATAAGAATTTAGTCTTGATTGGCCTAGAATTGGTGGTGCCCGCCTCATCTCCTGTTCCTCGTTGGGTTGTGGACCTAGGGCAGACCCACTATATTCAACGTTTTATCTAAGTTAAGTCTTATATAACTTTATATGTTGGACGATTATAGAGGAACTCTACGGATTACTCTAGGGTTCATTACAGCATCATGTAGGATTATTTCTATTCATACTTAACTAAGAAAATATTGGATTTTCTGGAAATCAAACTAAATCGATTTTACAAGGAAAAACGGTTTCTACTTCAAACAAAACTCTTATGAACTCACCAACCTTTGTGTTGACACTCTTTAAAACTACTTGTATTCTCAGGAAATCAGTGAAACAGGAAAACTTCATCGCTTTGAGGATGGGACGCTAAACCGTCAACAATTTATTTTGTCATCATAATGTAATTGCTTTTGAAACATGTAAACATATACTTTGGTGTAACTTTTGCAATTATATTTATGGTGGTTGTTTTTACTTTGAGCACTATTATACACGTTGTTGTGATACTGTACATGAAGTCCTCCACCCCCAGACGTTTCCGCCATCCTTGGTTTGGGGTGTGACAGATTGGTATCAGAGCATTGTTTATAGTGAACTAAGTATATCGAACCACATAAGATATACAAACTATAAATGCATTGGGACTAAGGTCTCTGATTTTAAGATTTCAAAACCACTATACCTTTAAGAATAAATAACTTTTGTTAAAAGTATACATGCATGCATACATACTAAGGTCAGCATCATTTTAGGGCAAAACAAAAGTAATGATTGTTGGATATCACAGTTAAGCCTGGGGATGTATGATCAGTCTTGGGAATAGCATAGCCTGATCAACTATGCTGGTCCGAGGAGTGATTAGCATATGCCCAAGAATGGTTGTGATGTGGCAACAAGTCTAAAAACTTACCAACACTACCACAATGAGAACATAAGAATGGAACATGAGTTTAAAATACTATAGGAGTATTTTGTAATATCATAATTTATATGAAAAGTAAATAGATCCTCAATGATAGGTCTATAGTCCCTAGGTGGATACCTTAAGGTTATATATAACTTAGAAATTATAGACTTAGAATTTGTGGTCATTACTTTACTTCCTTTTCCTTGTTTGGATGTGGACTTAGAGTGGGATCACTTATTCAAAGGTCTATCGTATCTTGTTATATGTAATTAGAATGCACTATGTCATTATAGAAGTAACTAATAAGGATTTCCCCCTATAAGTAATTGATAATAGAGTTAGACGCATAGTACTTATCTCCTCCACTTCTATTCTCGCAAATACGACATAGCAAAAATCCTACTCACCGGACGATCCTTACTTTCCTAATCCGAACTCGAGGAATGGTGAATGATTATGAGAAGAATCATCAGCGGGACCGGAGGTAATCAATCCTCCATGCATAGCAAGGGTTCTGTGAACCGTTTGACTATAACGAAACCGTGAACCGTTGGGCAATCGTGATCGAGGGTTGAATGTCGACAACAATGAAAACAACCACCATGTGGAGACCAACGAGGGTGCTATGACCTCAACCACGGGGACCGACGGACAGAGCCCTCCCGGCAAGGACCCGGCAGATCGCGATGATCATGGATCAAAACAGGAAGACTACAATCTGAGTTCAGAAAACTGCGCGCTACTATAAACCCCACCATCTCATGTACCGGTGACTCAGAATTATACTACTATTCCCGAGACCAACTCTCTTTTTAGGACCTTATCGCCACTCGTGAAGAGGAAAGAGAGTAACAGGGTAGGACACACATCATTCAAAGAAAGGATGATTGTAGCCAGGCGTTGATTGACAAAGCTACAAAAATTGCATCGACCTTGTCCCAGGCATCACAAGGGATGGATCATCGTGAGTAGAGTTCATGCCGCTCACCAGACCTGGTAAAGTAGCTCCATAAGTATGCGTTGGTGCTACTCTATTGTAAGAAAAATCACGACACTACAAACTAAATGGTCATACTAATCGAGGAAACTATCTATTATCAAAACCCGCCCATGCACAAATGTGAAGTAGACCTGCATCGAGGTCAAAATTTTCACTGAAACCACGATTTCTACAGTCATATTAACAAGATGGGTTTAGGACGTACCTAACAGACTCGAAGGACTATCTAGCCTTAATTATATAACTAAGCATACATCAATAGGTCGTGATAAGGACCTAGCTTGGGCCAAGTATAAGGTTTCACTTGGAAACAGAACTACTAAAATACATGAGTTTATTATACAAAGAATCTCGTTATAAATTGTTTTCAGAACACCCTAAACAACCGAACTTTGATACAAATCGATATGAGATAAACTTAGTTAGAAAACTCGCG